TAACCCGATTTTTTGTTTTTTTAGTTTTGGTGAACTCAAATAAGTTTGAAAGAACCGATAATCTTATACGTATTTGATTTACATAAAAAATGCTTATATATAATCTAAGAGTCATGCAAATTGAATTTTGTAAGATAAAATAAATTTATGTATATGAGAGATATACTATTTGATATTTGTTATTTTTTAAATTTTCCTTTATTATCAAAATTCATGAAATTTTATTTTCCAAAAATTCAAATCCCGCGATTGACGCGGATCAAAAATCTAGTTTGTAAATAAACAATAGGACGGTTTATCTTGTGGTTAGAGATGAAAGACATTGTACCATTGATGTTCTTTTAACACCAAATTTGGTTTTTATGGTTGGAGACTTGGAGTTGCTCTAATGGTTCCATCATTCTCTGAATTAAAGTAAAAAATCAGTTTTTTTTCATCTGGTAAATTATTGATAACTTCAAAGTGAAATACAAACGGTAATACTCAATCCCGCAATAGGAGAATCACAAACCCACAACTTAGAACAACTACTCAATCACAAACCCACAACTTAATTCCGAATCTAGAACAAACTTGGAAGGCTATAACACTGAGAAACAAAGGCCAAGAAGAGTCATAACAAAGGATAAAGATCCAAGTCACTCCGAAGCTTCTTCGTTGATACTCAACCTAATATCATTGAGAAAAAGTTGTTGATATGCATCGCCGCAAGAAGAATATTCGGAAAGACGGAGTGCGAGGAAACTTAGCCGTAGAACGGGGAACACCTGCCCCAAGAACATCTTCATCATCGTCGCACCTTCCAAGCTTTAATCGTCTTCGGAAATTCAAGTCGATGGCGAAGAGGACATATCAAATCGGAGCAGAGAGAGCGCCTTTGAAGCTCCGAGGTATCAGTAGAATTCAGAAACCGAGGCCCCAGATAAATCCTAACCTCCATAGAAGCTCCAGAGATAGTATCATGCCAATGATCTAAAGTCCACCAACACCAATCCCCATGGCTTTAACCAGACCACCACATAGACATTCTAAAACAAAAACGACATCGATACAACCATACGATTTATGACCATCGATACGGCCGAGGGACCCAAACACTAGAAGCTATGACCTACGATTTATGACCATCGACAAGGCCGAGGAACCCTACCAAAAGTTGGAAATCAAAACTAAACACCTAAAACAGAAGCTCGAAAGGCCGGAGAGGACATATCAATTCGAGTCCAAGAATCACAAACTAGAATCTTCAAGGCAGCACAAGATGATCCGCACCAAGTACAGGACAATCCGAACCTCAAGAGCAAGACCCGAGCAAAGGAAATCAGAGGGAGGACTACTTGAAAAGACGAGCAAGGCAAAACAGAACCACGACCCATCCTCTGTTTTCTACAAGAATCAAAGCCCAGTCCCTAACTATTTTTATACAGCACCAAGGAGCACCAACCACTACATTCTTCAAAAATCCACTCCCTGCTCGACCTCTTCCACAACCGAGACCTAAACGGATCCGAACACTCTAGCTTCACCGAGCCAAAAGATCTAAGGGGATCCAGAACCATCGATTGAAGTCCACCTACACGCGCCTAAGAACCATATTACCAACAAGACTACATGGAGAAAGCAGATTGAGGGACTAAAAGTCCGACCGACGACAAATCTATGTGAGTCTCCGGTCATCGGTCGAGAATCCAGTGAGATCACTTTTTTCTTCTTCTCGAATTATGATTGATACTTTAACCCCAAAAAAATAAGTAAAAAATCAGTTAAGAAATTAAAAATCTCCTGTCTATTTTAATCTTCCAAGTTCTAATGTATTTGAAGTATTAGGTGTATTTTGCAAACAAAATCATGCAGTCCACAACAATCAAATGACTGGAAGTACAACCATTTAACCCATTTTGTTCAATGGGCAAAGAAACTCTATTAAACAAAAATTATCAAAAGAAAACTCTGTTGCATATTCTAAAATAAAAACATAGATTAATTTTATACTCATGGTTGACCAAAATAAATAATACACGAACAGTGTTTATAACCTTATAGTATAAAAAAATGAACACATTAAATAGAAGCTAAGGATAGGTCACAAGTCGAAGACCCGAAGCCTCATTGGATGTGTTACAAGTTGATATGTAAGAATAATAAGAAGCCAAAGCAATGTCCTTAAGATCTTTTGCAGTGACTTTTCAACATCTACGAGTTGTCCTAATTAGCAGCTACTATCAACGAATATATACACATACTACTCTTAAAGTTTTCATGTTCCTTTGCCTTTATGGTTCACACGCAGACAAAATCCCTGAAATTCTAATAAATACTATATAATAGCAACAAAAGACTCTGATTGAACCAAATACTTTTCCCTTTTTACCAAATTTTGTACTTTGACATTTAATGATGCTAAACGTCTCTTGATAATGTGAAGAATATGTTTTTGTATGAGTTATCATTTTGACCTCTAACCCTCTGAATTTGAAAAAATTGTGGAATTTATGTTACTATATAATATTGTGAAAAACATCAATCTGCATAATAATATGAATGATTAAAGAATGTTGTATAAATGCGAAATCATAATAGTCCCCTCCAACCCTAGTGAGAAACGTCTTTAGCTCCACTAACAATTTTCAACTTTTGCGACAAAAGTAGTTTATCCCTTTGAGTATTTTATGTACCCTCTGGATTTTAGAGATATACCCAATCTTATAGAGTGTTAACAACAACAAAAAAAACTTATCTTAACGAATTAGTTAATGTAGTGAACAACAGAAATAAATGATAGAATCTGCATGTTAATATACTAAGCTTTTTTAAAAAAGAAAAAGAAATTAATACGTGTTGTTTGCATGTGTGTGTCTTTTTCTCTTTTTTGTTTTTGAACTTCCCAACAAAGTTTAGAAGCTCAAAAAGGGATTGTGGGTACTGATGCAAAGATAAGAAGAAGCATTTATGCAAAAGCCTGTTCTTTCGTGCTCAGAAGAAGGGACCATATTTTTGTAATCCTTTTTCTTCTTTTTGACAAGGATTGACATAAATCAAATTTCTTGGATTGGTGGTAGTAATTTTATGCATTTGTCAATTTTAGAAATACTATTTATTATCAGTAGGATTTAGGAATAGGTAACTATGCATAGTGCTTTTGCTGCAGGTTTCAGTTACTCTCTAGATATCCTTCGTGATTTCAAAATCTTCAGTGCTTAACACAATAATTGATTATAAATCAGGTTTGACCACTGATTACCTCGAATTGTGTTTCTTAACGTCAAGGATTTTTATGTGTTTTTGAAGATATATAACGTTACCCATTTTTTTTTCTTTTTTGGTCGAAAACGTTACCCAATTAACAAACAAAAAGTATATTGTAATGTTATACGTAGAAACTAGAAAGCTTTGTAAAATTTCATTATAAATTTTTGAGGTACTCTTTGCATAGAGCCATAGACTAGTAACTACTAACAGCCTAGTATATATATAGGTTTCAAAAGCTAACTCGCTACAAGTCAACTAACTATTTTTCAATATTTTTTTTTTTAAAATCGACCTATATGATGAATACA